TTATTCTACAAATATGCCTCAGGACTTTTTCTCTAGATCTGAAAACTGAGATTAATCAACTTCTCATATAGAATATTCAGTGGTTCCACTTTATAATCTAGCATTAATGTGACACTATTGCAACCAGTATATGAAATGATTTTCTAAATATTTATAAATAAAGACTATATTTGATGTGTCATTTATAAATAAAAGATGAAATTATTAAAGTAAACTAGTGGATTTTGGGTGTGCAAAATGTGAGAATTTCATATACGTATTATCTATGGGGCAGTAACATCATGATGACTTTAGAAATTAGTTTAGGAAAGTCACTAAGCAAAGAACAACCATAACAAGGAGCAATAAGTACAAACCCTGGGGAGGGAGGAGAATCTGATTGCCAGAAACGCTACATTATATTATTTAAAATGTCCAGTTTTCAACAAAAAGTATGAGACATGCAAAGATACAAGAAAGTATGGCGCATGCATGGGGAAATGCAATCAGTAGGAACACAGATAATGTCTCAGCCATTGGACTTATTAGACAAAGACTTTAAGTCAGCTACTTTAAATATATTAAAAGAAATAAATGAAACCATGTCTAAAGAAAAAAATAAAAGTATGAGAATGATGTCTTACAAAATAGGGAATATCAATAAAAACATAGCAATTATTTTCAAGATCATCAAACAGATATTCTGGAGTTAAAAATACAGTAACTGAAATGAAAAATCTAGTGGGGCTCAACAGCACATTTGAGCAGGCTGGAGAAAAAATAAGCAAAATTGAAAATGGGTCAAGTGAGATTATCCAGTTTGAGGAAAAGAAAAAAAAAAAATGAAGGAAAAAAATGAACAGAGCCTCAGAAATCTTCAAGTTCCATCAACCATACAAACATAATGGGAGTCCCAGAAGGAGAAAGAGAGTGTTTATATTACATAACACTGTACTCACAGATACATTTTTAAAAAATGTCTTAACTAAGACGGCAGTATATGATCATAAACTAATACTTTCAGGCACACCAGACAATCAGAGTGAAGTACCCCATGAATGAAATCTATGTTTCAAATGTTTTCCTGATAATTTTGAATTTTATTCAAAATTTGAAAGGTTGTCTTCTTATCAGCTACAGTTAGATCTATCTTGCCCTTGCCTTATAGGGAGGTTGACAAAGAATAGTAATGACTGTTTTTCACTGTTTTCTTCTTGTTCACCCTGCCCGCATTATTAGTGTTATCTTCAGTCTGGGCCTTTTCTTTTCTGCAGATACCTTTTTTTTTTTTTTTTAAAAACTTTTTATTATGGAGAATTGAAAACATATATAGACAATAATATAATGAACCCTAGTAGACTCATCGTTCTTCCGCTATTATCAACTTGTTACCAATGAAGCTGGTCCCCCACAAAATGGAGTCTTACCCTCTTTGGTGTCCCAAAGCCAATTTGCAAAAACAAAAGAGAGTGTCAAGCAGTGCAGGCTTTATTGGATGGCCACAGAATTGAGAAGCAGGAGCTTGGTTCACGAATTAACTTCTCAGCTTGTGAAAGTCAGGGAGTCATAAATATAGGGCTGCTTTAATGAAGGGATTGGGCATTAAAAGCTAGGGGAGGACTGGGCACAGTGGCTAATGCCTGTAAGCCCAGCAATTTGGGAGGCCGACACGGGTGGATCATGAGGTCAGGAGATCAAGACCATCCTGGCCAACATGGTGAAACCCTGTCTCTACTAAAAATACAAAAATTAGCAGGGCATGGTGGCACCTGCCTGTAACCCCAGCTACTCAGGAGGCTGAGTTAGGAGAATTGCTTGAACTAGGGAGTCAGAGCTTGTAGTGAGCTGAGATTATGCCACTGTACTCCAGCCAGGTGACAGAGTGAGACTCCATCTTAAGGAAAAAAAAGCTAGAGGATAAATATTCATGTCTTTTTTGGGAATGGGTAGAGAACTTCTCAATAGAGTGCTGCCTTCCTTTTTTATTTTTTTGTCCTTTTATGGTTTCTTCTGGTCAGTGTGATGATGATTATCAACTGTCAGTACTGGTGCGAGTGTCATTTAGTATGAAAATTAGATTATAATGAAGTTAGAATTTCTTCAGAGGTCAAGTGAGCTGCCATCTTGGGTCTCACCAGTGTTTGGTCATGAGGGGTACCTTCTGACCACAGGCATCCTGTCCTAAAGGTAAGCTAAGGTAGAAATTCACCTATGTCACATGGGCATGTAATATAAAGAAATCCATGGCCTGTTCACTTCCCTAGTCCTGTAATATTTTGAAGATAATCCCATATATAATATTATTTCATCTGATAATGTGTATCTCTAAAACATAAGGACTCTTAAAAAACCTAACTACAATCCCATTATCACAACTGAAAAATAATTTGCAGGGAAAATCTTTGCACTAAAAGCCAGGTCAGGAAAGAAAGAAATGTGCCTTTCACATAATAAAGCTGAGGTCATTATTTCATAGGGAGTAAGGTCAAAGTTGTATTAATTTGAGGAAGATTCTGTCTTTACATAGACTAGCGGGCAGTCATTTCTCTCGTAAACCAGACTGGCAGTCCTTGAAGAAAAACTAATGTTTGTGGTGGTGAGTTATGCTTGTCTTCAAGGTACTTTTGGAGAGAAACCCCATCTCTACTAAACAAATACAAAAATTAGCCAGATGTAATGGTGGGTACTTATAATTGCTGGTGGAGTGGGAGTAAGCTAGCATGGAAGCAGCCAGTTCCCACCCCATGTCTGTGAAACTAAAGCACCACATCCTCTCCCCACTTATCAGAAGCAGGAGTTGATGACAATCACATTCTCGTCCAGCTGAAATCTGATGGCGTAGAGTTTGTAAGACACAGGAAGGAATGAACCAGGAACTCTGTTATTCCATGGGCTGTCATGTGGGTTACTAGGCTGGGAATGCTTGGAGGAAGCAGGCAGTATAAGGCAACAGTTACCAGGAAGGAAGCAACGGCCACCCTTGAAAGGCCTGGAGGCTTGGTCTGTTTCTCCTGAGTGGGAAAAGGGAGCCAGCTGACCTAATCAAGACAAGTTGTGAACTGTTCTGCGGCAGTTACTTGAAACTTGAGTCAAAATAACTCCTTAATTCTCCTTTAAAATGGACTTTGTATTTAGTGTGGTGAAGATGGGGGAGGGAATGTCAATGTCTGTGCAGAGAGGAGCACCCACCAGCTGACCAGTGCCCAGCCACAGCCGCTACAAGGCACAGTCTCCATTCTCCTTGGAAGAAAGCCCTCCCATACCCCTAGGAAGAATAGAGCCTGACACAGAGCTGTGTTCACCCACATCACACACACTTGCAATTCTGTTCTTGGGGACTCAGGCAGACCTCTGGGAAGCCAAGCCCCAAGTGGTCAATGGGGAACTGTGAAGTTAGGTTCGCTTCTGGATATCATGATAATAAAGCAGCCCTAACTTTAGGCATCAACCTAGAACAGCTAACTTTAAATTTTTCCAAGTGATAATATAAAACAAACGACTTTCAATAAAGTTAAATGTCAATACTGTGAAACAAAAAGTATCTGTATCAGTTTAGAAATTTATGTTGTGAAGGTCAAGGACTCGCGCCCAGGAGACAGGTCTGTGTCTTTCTCCAAAGATGATTTTGAGGGCTTCAGTATTTAAAGGGGAAGAGCAGTATGGAGGGGAAAGATGGAAGGTGTGGTCACATTACTGAATCCACGTGTTGTGATAAAATGAGCAGGTAGGGAAACAGCCAATTATGTATTTGTCCAGTGCTCAGTAAATCGGCACTTTACACAAGATAAGGTGAACATAAAATGGAGATACTTTAATCTGTAGCTACCTGCTTAGGAACATTGCTTGCATGACTCAGCTTTCAGCTTAATTTTTTTCCTTTTGGCATAGTGAATTTTCGTTTCACAATACCAAAAAAAAAAAAAAAAAAAAAAAAAAAAAAAGTTGGCGGGGGAGGGGGGAGGCTCAGAATAAGGAACAATCCTTTGGCTTGAATATTTCATTTTATGAAAAACTTACTAAATTTTTCTCACTTTTCCACAAGAACAACTAACATAGCTGCAGACCAGTGTTTAGGGGTCACTTGAGTGGAAACTGTCGGGCCGACCTTGGCTCATACGTTCCTTTTCTCGTTAGGGAGGGAGTGACGGGGCAAATCTGCGTGCTGCTGGTGACGGTGCCTCCCAGGGCTGCTCCGGGGCCGCCGACGGCTGGACCTGAGCTCCGTCCCTTGTTGGCTGCGCGCCCCCGAAAACCCCGGGGGTCAGCGACTGCGGGCACCTGCAGGCCGACGAGACCGGCAGGCGGACAGCGACTCAGGTGAGCGCCCTGTCTATCCTTGGGGCGCAGCTGGCAGAGGCTTCCTGTTTTGAGGATGGCGCCACACAAAACAAGCATCATTAACCCGAAGGGCCGGGACGCTGGAGGCGGAAGTGCGATCGGCCTTGCTCGCCGCGCTTCCACTCCTCAGAGTGCTTTTTGTGGACACTGGGAAAGGGGCTCTTGCTACAGAGTGGAGCAAAGAGCAGCCCTCGCCCGGTCCTTAAAGCAGCGGCACCCTCCACGCCCACAGAAGCGTCTGCTCGGCCCACAGCCTGCCCTCCCAGGCCCACGCGGAGGTCCAGCAAGCACCAGTATGGAGGCAACAGGCACACGCGTGGCCTTTTCGGCCGCGCACGCCGCTTCACAGTATAAAAGGCACCCGTTCTTAGGGCGCATGCGCGCAGGCCACCAACTCCAAAGCCAGGCCTCCTGCCAGGATTTGCTAACTAGCGGGAAAGGTAGCTGGGAGGTAGGGAAGAGGAGAAAGGGAAGGGACCCGTGGGCTAAGACAGCTTCCCACTGGCTTCTCTTGCTCCGCCCTCAATGGCGATTGGCTACAGACCGGGAGCACGGGCCGAGCACGCTCCCACGTGCCGAGCGGCGTTCAGCAGGCGGACCGTGGCGCCGCCAATGGGAGCGCCCTGCGGGGCGGGGCTTGGGCGCTGGGCCTCCCCGGGCGCCAGCCAGTTGGTAAATAGATCCGGAGCGCGTGGTGGGCGTCAGCGTGGCTGCAGTCGCGCAAAGGCGGCTGGAAGGTGACCGCGGAACCCAGCTTCCTGCAGCCGGGTAAGGCTGCCACCCGCCGGCCCGCCGCGTGCAGGAGCGCCGTCTGGCTGCGGCCAGAGCCAGGCTTAACACCCACCTGAGCCCTTCTTGCATTCTCTTCATGTGACAGCACGGCTTCCCCTGGCGAGTTTCGCGGGCCGCGAGCTTCAGGTCGGACGCAGTGGGCGCCCCGCAGGTGCAGGGTGGGTCCTCTGCAGCTGTCTCCCGTCCCTGTGTCCACCTCAGCCCCTCGATCCTGCTTCGGTGAGAAGACGAGGGCCGCGTGCAGAACCTTGGGTCCCTGGAACACGCCCGCTGCCTGCCCGACCGCCTTCCCGCTGCTAATCACCCGCTGCCCGTGCCCTTTGGTCGCCAGTACAGCTTTCCTGCCTCGCTTTCTAATGTTGTTCCTAACTCCCAGACCCTCTTGCACTGTGTGTGGGTCTTGCGGCTCTAACTGCCCCTGGCTGCAGGTTTGGGTCCGAATTTGACTACCTTGACTGGAGCCAGCTGTTGGGCTTCACAGGTGGGAATTTTGGGTGGACTTGGGACAGGGGGGTCCTTTTTGATCCTTTTTTCCTTTTGCTTTTCTTTGGCTTTTTCTACTTCTCCAAACGCTGGGAGTCTTGTGAGTGGTTTGGGCTTACTCCCCTAAACTCCAGCCTTTCCAAGGCTCATTCCTACCCATTGCACAGAGGTAACAGCCCCTCTGCCAAACCCACCTTGGGCGATGGGGAATGTTGCAGGGGCAGGTTTGGGTATTGGGACTCCCCATCTGGGTGCAAGATGTCAGCTTTCTGGAGGGTAAGAGGCTTGTGTACAGTCTTCCAGCCTGAGTTGGGCCTGCAGCCTGTTGAAAAACTTGTGCACGTTCACTTGGGCCTTGGATCTATCTACGTGACATGACTGGGTAGCTCGTAATGCCAGGTCTACCTGATTGCCAAAGGATTTGAACATGCATTGATGCCAGCCTGCCAGTTGTCACGCTGTGGATGGGTGGGTTTCCCTGGCAGGAGGGCTCTTCGGAGACTCTTCTTTCAGAGGAAAGCCTTTCACCTGAGGAGAGACAAAAGGGGAGCTACAGGAGCAGCATTTTTAAGACTCAGGTGCTGGGCGCTGTGGCTCACGCCTGCAATCCCTGCACTTTGGGAGGCCGAGGTGGGTGGATCATCTTAGGTCAAGAGTTGGAGACTAGCCTGGCCAAAATGGCAAAACCCCATCTCTACTAAAAAAATACAAAAATTAGCCGGATGTGGTGGTGGGCGCCTATAATCCCAGCTACTCCAGAGGCTGAGATGGGAGAATCGCTTGAACCTGGGAGGTGGAGGTTGCAATGAGCCAAGATGCGCCAATGCACTCCTCCCGGGGCAACAGAGCAAGATTCAATGTTAAAAAACCCAAACAAGCAAACAACTCAGGCGATGACTTTGAGTGTTTTGCTCAGCCTTGCAAATAGTGCGGACTATGCAGAATCGTCATGATTTGGGGCCTAATGTTGAGCGATTCAAAGGAAAAGTAAACTGGGTGATCTGGGCGCCTCCCTCAGAGCCAGTGTGTTATCTAAGACAAAGTTTTTCAGCCTGTGGACTAATGACGTTTTGGACCCATAATTCTGTCGTGGGGGGGCCTGGCCTATGCATTGTAGGATGTGCAGCAGTATCCCTGGCTTCTGTGTTTTAGACTAGCACCACTCCCCGCCCCTTCTAGCCGTTGCAACCATGAAAATGTTTCCAGACACTGCCACATGTCCCCTGGAGGGCAACATCTTCCTTGGTTGAGAACCACTGAGGTAAGACTCTAAAAAGAGTTTTCCTATGCTGCCAGTGGCCCCTCTGGGACCTGCCCGTGAGTAGGTGAGAGGTTTAGGCAAAGGGTTGTGTTGTGCCTACTGCCCTAACCCAGTGGTAGAAGCCATGTAGATTGGGCTACCTGTGCACCTAGGAGGGCAAAACCTGCCAGCAGAAGTTAGGAGGTAGACACCCATGGGCATGTACTGTGCTTGTGAGATGTGCAGCAGTGACTGGCTGGCTGTGTTGGGGGTCCTGGGCAATTGGAAGATTGGTAGTTTTTTGGGGACACTGCAAGACTAGGGGATTTGCACATGAATAACTGTGGGCCAGTTTTAAAAGAGCAAACGTGTTCGTGCTGGCACAAAGGCTAACTCAGCTGTCCACAAGTGGTTCTGCAAGGAGATGCTTTATTCATCCTCACTCTTTGTCAGACGTCTCTGTGTCTTGTGATGTGCGAAGGGGCCAGGCCTACATCTGCAAGGAGTGAGTGGGTGCATTTCAAACAAATGTATGTGTATCTTTACATATACTGTCTGAGGGTGCAGCTTGGACATGGGTATAATTTATGGAGTTCTTTTGTTGTTGTTTGAAGCATCAGTCTCAAAGTTGATGAGCCTTTTCTTTTCTCCTTCGGTCAGCCTGCTAACCAAAGAAACATTTTTATGTGTGTGTGGAGAAAGATGCTTTACTTCTAAGTCTTAGTTTTGCCTTCAGTGTAATACAGAATTTATGCCCCAATTTCTAAGTCCCAAACTGATAGGCATGCAGAAGAGCTGAGAAACTGAGTTCTTGCACAGGGCAAGGAAAACCATCCAAGTCTATTCAGTGAATTTCTCTTTCTTGCCCTTAATTGATCCTGTGGGGATATATTGGGGTTTTTCTGTAACACTCCTTGGTCAGTAGGGGAGCTTTTGGGTGCCCTTGGTTGCCAGTAGAAAAGGATCAGGAAGGAAGGTCACTTCTCCTTTCTCAAAGAGAATTTTAAAGAAGTCTATTATTGGGAAGCTCAAAACTTGGCAGGATAATTTTCCAGTAAGAACCATGGACACTGAGTCATTATCTTTGTCCGCTGAAACAAGAGCTGTGTGCAGAATTAGACAGGAATATTTAGATAGAGAGTTGTCTTGATTTGACAGTGGCATCTGGAGAGATACTTCTGTCATTGCAATAAGCAACAGCCAGGAACTCGGGAGAGCCAGTGGAAAGGAGAGCTGGTGGGAGTGAGGGAGTTCAAGGGTCTTGCTTTTTCTGGAGTTGCACATGTGGAGGGGTGGGAGCCCCACAGAGGTGGTTTGTGAGAAGTGAGGATGGCCTGAGTCCCCAAAGGGAGATAGAACTGAAGGCCTGGATTCAGGGAATATATGCAAGTGGGATTTCTAGACTGACTAACTGGCTGGATATATGTCTGGGATTTCTAATCCAGGGGAGAAGCTGGATGAGGAAGAGCTGGTTTGGGAGAAGGTGGTCATCTTAGTTTTAGACATGATGGGAGCCTATGGGACTTTTTTCCATCCTGTCGTATTAAGGTATAATTTGGGTACAGTAAATTCCTCCTTCTAGGTGTGCAGTTCTGCACAGTGTGACACACGCACAGAGTCACATAACCCCACAACAATCAAAGTAGAGAACAATTTCATCACCCTCTGAAATTTCCCCGTGTCCCTTTCCAGTTGCCTGCGGGTCTTTGAAGCAGCGATGCGGTATGTGTGTGTAACTCGGTTTGTTCTAGAACTGAGTTCTGTGGTTGAGAAGTCCTGGCCTGAGGGTGGGGAGGCATCAGTGCAGAGCCTGTGGAGGGGCTCTGGCAGTGCAGGAGCCAGTGCAGGTGACTGGGAGGCAGGAGCGTGGAGGCACAGCCTGGGAACACCCAGACCTTGGAGTAGGTGGAGGAAGAGGAGCTGAGGGAGGAAGCTGAGGAGGTGAGACCAGGGAGGAGGGAGGAGGAAAGAGGGAGGGCTTCTGGGAAGAGTGTGCGGCCAGCAGGAAACACTGTGGGGCGGGGGCAACTGAGGTGACCCACTGGCTTGAGTCCTCAGGTGTCACAGAGGGGCAGTTCGGGTGTGGGGGGCAGACAGTGTGTGCCAAGGGAGCAGGCAAGAGGGCAAATACACTCTGTCCTTGGGAGATGGTGGCCATGTCTAAATGCTGGAGGAGAAGCAGAGTCTATGGGAGTTTTCTTTAAAGGTTCGGTACAGGAGACTAGAGAGTGGGCTGGAGGGGAGGGCAATAAAAGGAGATCGAAGGCAAAAAAAAAAAAGGTCAGGGGTAAGGTCCTGTTGGAGGAAGGAGGATGATCAGTGTGGAGGAGATGGGACAGAGGCAGAGGAAGGGTCTGAGAGGTGCGGCCAAGCGTGGGCACGCCCATCTGCTTTCCCCCAGTTCTGCAGTAACAACAGTCGGCTAGAGAGGGGCCTTTAATGTGAGAGGGCCAAGGTGGGGGCTAGAAGGGCCTTAGGTACCTCAGCGTCCTTGGAGGAGTTGGTTGTCCCGTGTGTGTGAGTGTGAGAGTGTGTGTGTGTGAACTGTGTATGCGTGAGTGTGTATGTGTGAGAATTTGTGTGTGTATGTGAGTGTGTGTGTGAGAGAGAATGTGTGTTAGAGTGAGAAGTGTGTGTGTGTGTGTGTGTGTGTGTGTATGTATGTATGTGGGGAACGGGGGCAGGAAGGTGCTTCCGGGTCTTGTGGGAAGGCCCAGTCCCTTATCTCTCTCTACCTCCACACTGTCCACTGGAGTTTTCCATTTCCCAGAGGTGTGTTACCTGAGAGAGGCTGTAGGGCCCCTCTCTGCCTTTGTGAAGACAGCAGGGTTGGTCTGCCTCTCACCCCTCGCTGTTCATAGAATCTCTGGAAGGATCAGTATCCGCGTTGTTCTGAGCATTACTCTGTAGACCTCGTTACATCCCAGCTTGCGGACCTGCCCTGTGTGTGCTCTCCTTGCTGAGCTTCTGCGCTCCAGGATGCATGGCCCTTTCCTAGCCTCTGGGAACTAGGCCTTGTCCAGGCCAGCCGCCTACTTACACATGAGGACATGAGAAGACGCAGGCCCTGCGAGGAGAAGCTGTGTGCCTGCGGTCACCCATGGTTGGTGGCCTTGCTGTTGGCCCTCGCCGTCAGCACTCATCACAATATATTCGGTGTCCTCTGGGAACTAGAGGACCTGGTGGCAAGTCCCTGCTGTCTGCGGGGCTGGCTGAGAGGTCCTGAGGACAATCCACATGAAACAAATATTAGGGTTCAAGTTCAGAGCCTGGGCCCCAGCCCAGTGTTTGTTCTCTGCTTGGCAGTTTTTGTTGGGCACTGATACAGGCTCAGAGGAGGGTGAAGGAAAGAATCAATGCCTGGTAAACTGCGGCTGGTTACTGTTTGACAGGTGCTTAAGTAAACACGTCTAACCTTCCTGAGACTGAAAAAATGCCTGCGGCTCTTGTTCCCTAGGGTGTTTATTCAGCCGTCATTGGGTCAAGGGTTGAATAGTGTGCTGCGGCCAGGCCTGTGGCAGCTCCTGTTACGCAGGCATGGTGCTCAGGCACGGTTCCTGGTCCAGGCCTGACTGGCCTGCTGAGAAACAGCTGCCTGCTGGCTCCAGCCCCTCCTCTTCCCTCCCCCGATCTTAGACCAGAACTGGAACTGGGGTGAAGCAAAGGAAGCAGTAGAAGTGACTGCGTCCCCTGCTGCTCCCTGGGTCTGTGTGCCCGCCATGAGCGGGATTTTGAAGCTGGCTTGAAAACTCATCTGG